AAGAGACTTCGTGGGAAGAGAGCTCGAAGGAGGCCGAAGATCACACCTCTTCGTCCTCACAGGTATCGCCCTTCACCAACCGAGGGCTCTCCAAAGGGACGCTCGTGCCGGAAGATATCACACAGCCGCCTAGGAGAAAATCGAAAAGAAGAAAGATGTCCCAGTACGACAAGGACATCTCGAGCAACTCCCGGTTCGATTCGAAGAAGCTGAAGAGCAAGGAGGCCGATGATGAGGAAGAAGAAGCGAAGGAGGAGCTCGTGAAGAATTATTTGAAGCTGGATAAGAACGATTCAGGGGATTCGAGGTCGCAAGCGAGCGACCACATGTCTGACGTCAAGAAGAAAGAGTCTCCCCCGCTGCGTAAGAAACGTCGACGTATAATATCGAAGAACAACCCCACGACTTCGCTCAACAACGCGCTGGCCGAGACCTCTACTGTCAGTCCACCGTACGAGTCTTCCACCGAAGCCGCCAAGAAAAGACGCAGAAAACCTCAAGCGTCAAGTACAACACCAGCTACGCCTTCGGAGGCTGTCGAAGACCTTAAGACGAGCAAGTCAGATTTCGCGCACTTACGAAGGAGGTACTCAATGGGCGACGTCATGCAGACGAGCGGGCCGAATTCTACCGAGGAGACCGCGAGTTCCACGGATGAAACAGTCAAAGGCGACAGCGCGGAAGCGGAAACCTCGACCCCGAAGACGCGAACGATCGAGCATCGATCGCGTGTCTCGAAGGAGAAGATCGTCACGAAGACGACGTATCCGGACGAGACGGAGGCCTTCGACACCGTAAGGAAGAACGCGACGTTCGCTTCACGGCAAGAGCCAGTGAAGAAACTGAAGATCAAAGTGAGTCGCCGGAAGAGCAACGGTAAACGGAAGAACGACGGCGGCGGAGAGTTAAGCGATAACGAGAAACTGATAAGACGAAGAGGCGGAGAACATTACGACGTTCGTTTCAAGAAGGACGGTGCCGAGAAATCGGTGACGTCGGGAAAACCCGAAGTCGAGGGAAAAGATAATCCTCTGAAAGGCTTCGGGATGAGGGAGGAAGAGGTTAAGAGGATTAATAACTTTAGCACTTTCGACGGGACCGTTAATGATGAGGACGACGACTTCGGCGACGCAGTGCCGGCAGAAGTAAGTTCGCCATCGCAGCACAGGACGGTTCAGCTGACTGAATACGGCTCCAGACAGATAATGTCCTCTTTGTCGTGGGTCTCAAAGAATTACGATTAGTAAGGCACGGAATCCTACCTTCTTCTGTTCTCTCGCATGCGATCTTTCCAACAGAAAATGACACTTTATTCCAAATTTATTTACCGTAAATCCAAAATCTATTAATGTCAAACAACGACAGCGAGGCCAGGGTATTTATAGTTATAAATTATCTACAAGAAGTCTTTGGATTAGAAATATAATTAGTCACGGATTAATTTATTAATTGCATAATTCATTATAGATTTGTGTTCGTGGACTGTCATTGAGCTGTTTGAATCAACTTTTTCTACGATGTAAATATAGAGATAGATGAATAATCAGAGACTCATGATTCTGTAACTTGTTACTTATCAGATACAACGATGAACTCTATGAATACCGGCCTAAATGTATTTTAAAAAATGTAAACATTTTAAATATATATTTATTTATAATTCACCCGGCAGCTTCCCACTAATGAAGAGATCTTGCGATTTCAGACGTACGTGTTGAACAGCCTGCTGCGGAATATTCCACCGAGCCGTAGAAACGATCGAGCGACGAAGAAGACCAAGAGTGACTCAAGCAGAATAAGCGAAAAGTGGAAGGAGCAAATTAGCATCGAAGAGAACAAGAGAGCGCAGGAGGACGATACAGAGGAAAAGCCGAGGTCGTTATTGCAGGCCAAGTTCATAAAGGATCCGAAACGCAGACTGTACTATTATGTAGAACGTAAATGATTTCAGTTAGTGCTTTCACTGTTTAAATACAAGAGAAGAAGAGGAATTTCCACGACTGCTCGTAGAACGACAAATACGTAAACACGCGACGTTAATCCTAAGGTAACTTAGTATCCTGAATAATCGCGTAGAAATGTCCTCCGTTCAAATTTGCGATCGACCTTAGTTTTATTTTACGCGCAGTTAATAACAATAGTATATGAAGACGAGCCCTCCCCTTCCCTGCCGCGGATTGCATTAGAAACTTAGAGATTACTGTAGTTGTCGTTTCATTGTACAAATACAATTAAGAAATTCGGGTGATCACTGGCAATAATTATCCTAACCAAAGGAAGAATTGAAGGCCATGAGGGATCAAAGCACGGATGTGATCATAGTGTCATTTAAATATTAATATTGACAGTATTAATATTTAAGTAGAATTAAAGATCATTCGTGCTTTGGCTTTTCATACACTTTAATTTTTCCTCCGGTTAAATCAAGTAAAGAGCAGTTAATTAATTTAAATAATTATCTTCACGAAGCACCGACACTTAAAAGAAGCGGGAAGAAAGGAAACGGAGACACGACGCGACACTCGCACTCACAGTTAACCCCCAGAAGCACGATACTTCATCGATTTGTTTATTTAACAGCTTACCGCGTCGTACAGCGGTATTCCAGCTAATTAATCATTGTTCCAGAGAAAGCGCATTTTCGACGTGGACCGTTACTAAGCTCCGACTGAGGATGTTGTAACGGTTTCTTTCATTGTGTTGTCACATTGTTGTACATAATCTAGCATACCTTTGTTATAAATAAACGTTATAGAAGGAGATTGCTTAATCGTTCGACCTAATCGGCATAATCATTCGAAAGCGCCATCATGCCCCGTTCCTTTTTTTATCGATAGCGGGACCAGCGAGCGCGGCCTCTACGAACGTCGCGAAGAAATCTCGTAAAACCACGGAGAAATTGTATCTACGGTCGCGAAAGAAGTTCCATTTAGGAGCCGAGGATTTCTCGGCGAAGCCGTCACGCTCGTTCGCGAATTCGCAATGCGCTCGTAATAATTGTTCGTCATTCTTGCGAGCCGTCCGGCTATTTTATCTTAATTAGAAAAAAAACGCACGACAATATGCTTCATATTTTAAAGCGTTAGTAGTGGGCCCGTAGAAACAGTGGACGAAATTATACTTTCCCTCGTTAGAAATTCTCCTGTACGTCGATTACATCGGTGAATAATAATAATGTCAGCATTTCCAATAATTGGGCATTTTCTTTTTTTTTCATTAAGTCGATGTTTATCGTCGCTCCGTTTTAGTATTTTAATTGCGACGTACCGTTTTATCGGCCGATGTATTTAACGTCGTAACGATCCCCGAAATCGGTCTTGAATGGGATTCGGTTGCGTAATCGCCTAGCTGGTTTCCAAAAAGTGGACAGCCATGATCTAATTTTCGGCGCGCAAGAGGGCAATAGCATTCCGAGCCGCTCCTTCTTGCGACGTGAATAAAACCGAGCATCAGTAATAAAATACTTTCCAAACGTTTTCTCCCCCTCCCTCCCCCCCGCCCCCCGTAGCGCACACCGACTTCTTCGAGCGTCCATTATAAGAGCGCATTATGCGGCATATTATATTAGTTAATCGCGACGCGCGCTTTCTCGACCAGCGTCCTCGGACAAAATGAATAAGATTAACTCGCAACGCCCACACGTGGCTAAATAGTTGCACGCAATTAAGCCACGATCCAAGACGCGGCTTCACGCTCGCGTTATTCAAATAATATACGACAGCGCATCTTCACGAATTTTCTTTCTTGTATTGTTTTGAATGTTATCGAACATATTTCCGTGTATTCTTCAAATTCTCGCATATTCAACCGTCCATTGGCTTCGACCGTGTCGTTATTAAGATAGTTGGCCCGTGAATTAATTTTCTCAGGAATCTTTTCAAATTTTAACAGCATATTAATTGAAATACGATCTATACACATGTAAGAAAATAATTTACTATACCGAGGCTGAAGTAATTGAAATTAAAGTTAGCAATACGCAATATCACACAGGTACGGAAACGGCTGCCAATATCACATTTCCAGCAACCAAACTACTCTTACTCTTACTTAGTGACAGACGAGAAGATAATAAGAGAGAGTTGTGGAAATATGAGAGTTGTGGAAATATGAAAAAAATACAAGATTGTTAACCATTTCAGAAACTGATGTGTAAAATGTACAATTTCTGATAACGTTTGAAAAATATTCTTGAATTGATACTACTCTGGAGGACTGAATTCCCTTTGTTTTAAGCTTTTGATGCTGCAGCCTTTGATGCTGCAAGTGAGAAATCATTTCCGTTTCCTTCCCCTCGAAGACTTAATGCCGACTCGGGAGTTTGCAATTATTGTTATTATCGCTACTATTCCTATTATTTCTATTATTATTATTATCATATCGTCAATGCAAAATCATCTCGGTGATCCGTGAGCCACGGATTTCGCTGTCGCCCCGTCGGATCTCTCGGCTGGCTCTCGACGTTTCTCGCGCGATAGAAGAACGAGCGCCGTTTCGTTAGTCATCGCGTCCTTCTGTTCCGATAGGAACGTCGACGCGTGTTTGTCACTCTCGTGGAGGACGGTCTCGTTGAAAAACCGAAGCGAAGAGACACAAGAAGAAAACGCGCGTCGACGTCGCGTCAATCGGGAGGAAATCGGTCCTTGGCGCGCGCAAGGATCCGGGGGAATCTGAGAGATCGCGCGGCTATGTGAGAGGCGGTGCGCGCGCGCCAAGGTTAAGGTGCCGCGTAACCCACACTCAGCCGGCGATATCCTTCGCGCGCGCTCTGATAATATCCTAGACGGGCAAATAAAATGCGCGTTCGAACGAAAGGGAATACTGGCCGACGATTGGTCAACGTTAACACACACGACACGCCACGTGTATATAATTCGATCTTTGCCATTGTAGACTAGTCACCTGCTAAGTGTTCTGCTGCGCGTCGAGTGTCGTTTGCCCGCGAACAGCGATATGCTGCCCACCAAGGTACGTGAAAGGGTCCCTGCGATCGGAAACGGGATCGGGAAGCGGTAATTCCGAGCGTGCTTCCGGCGACGAGGAAGTCAGTGTGACGGGTTTGAGAATCCGGTCGTTTCAAGATGTTCTCGGGATTTCGGACGGTCGAGCTCAGGTGGAACGGAAAACGACTATGACGTCGATATGACGTTAAAGTGGTGACCGTATGATCTGAAAGTGAAGTTTTTATCATCATTTCTACGTCATTTCGACGTTACCGTGACTTCTGTTCTATACCGAGAGGGCGCAATAGTTGAGATTATTTTGAAACTCGGATGGATAGATTGATGCGCGTTTGAGTATGGCGGAGCGTCTCGAAGGCGGATCTACGCGAATGCGTCGTCACGTCGTTCCTCTATCACAGCAATTTCGAAGGTAGCCCGGTCAACGAGGATGTCAGTGCGGCATATTCAAGGATCTTCTCGGAGTTGCATGCCGAGGATAGTGGCTGAGATTTTTTGAACACCCACGAGAACAGATTGGTGCGCGTTCGAGTATGGCGGAGCGTTTCGAACGCGGATCTGGCGGAATACGTCATCATTTATCTTTGCAATCGAAAAGGAATTACAGCAACTTCGAGAATGATCCCGGCGAGAGACGGGGACATTAGTACAAATGGCTTTGAGGCTTTCACGATAATGAAAACGGTAGCTGTGACTTTTTTCTACGTCTCTTGCGAGGACAGATTGATACGCGCCTTATAATGATGCGTTTCGAAAGCGGATCTGATCGTCAGGATCTATCGATCATCTTCGCTATCGTGGACGGATTATGGTAATTCCGAGAACGGCCCCGAGGACATCGGTGTGACGGATTAGTCCTCGCGGAAGCTTACACGGTTACACGGAAAGCTGAGACCTTCTCAGCTCCCACGAGAACAGATTGACACGCGTTTCCCTCGAATACGGTAGCGAGCGGAACGAACGCGTTGTCGTGCCGTTCGTTACGTAAAGGTGTAACGTCGACCGGCTGTTATTTAATCGGACGCTCGTTGCGCGCATTGAGGGTTTAGCAATAATTATTGATTGATCAGCCTCTCGGCGGTTCTGCACGGTGTATAAAAATCGAACGTGAGGGACGACGTGCGGCAACGCGCGAGAGAGATCGCGGGTTAATGCGCGCGTCTAATGCAAACCGTGGAAAAAGTGACATGCAAATGCGCACGGCACACTTTCTATCCGAGGCGAGGCGTTTTTTATCGCGATTGCCTAAATTCACCCTAATGCAGCAGGTGGACGTTCGAGGTCGCGACGCCTACGCGACACCGATCTCGCTTCAGTCGCCAGTCGATATCGTCGAGTCGCTCGATAGCTCGGTGACACAATCGTGGCACGGCCGTGTGTTTAATTCCATGAAACACTACACGCACGATATTTTTAGCCGCGCTCCGCTCCATTGTTGAGTCACGCAAATATATGCACGTACGGTGAATTGTTAAGTAATTCGCTGCGTAAGGAGGCGGATTATCGAATGGTCTGCTTTGTTCGAGTTCGCATTTCGCCAAAATCAGAGCGAAGAACACGTTTGTTGATACGGTAATGCCAAATATTACCGATTCTTCCAAACGATTTAACTATATTTGATAGTTCCGCGTTAAATATAATTAACTATTTGATACAAATATAATTCGTTACTTCCGTGTCAAATATAATTAAATCCACTATAGACGTTCGATCTCATTTCGGCGAAGGCGAGCGCAAACAAAGCGTCATTCGATAATCAATTAATGAGATGTTAATTAATTAATTAGAATATTATTATCTATTTATTTGTGGGAGGATTTCCTTTACACACATCAATTATAAGTAGAGATTCAATACATCATTTCGAAAAATAAAATGAGAAAAGAAAGATAAGAAAATTTACATTAAAAAAGATTATACATTTTTTGTAAATTTTTTGTAATTTTTTCATATATTATATCAATTAATAATTATATCAGAAGAAGGGTGTGATGTAAACTTTTGGTATTAATATGTTTGATACCGGAAATTTATCATACTGATTATCGTGCCGGAATTAATAAAAATCGTTGACATAACATGTCGACCTTTGCTAACGGAGAGAGGAGGAAAGAAGAGGATCGTGAGAATTATATAAAATGTACTAAATTAATAGTTATATTTTTTCCCGGTATGCTTACGTTAACAGGACACTACCGTGTGCGCATATTGAAATCAGCGGATCGTCATGTCTGATATATAATTTCCCGCAGGTCACTCTGTTATTTGGATTCGCGACACTGTTAAAATTATCATCAGCCGCACCGGACAGCGCGGGCATTGTGGAAATGGCGAATGGATTGGCGTATGGTAAGTCAGACTTCTGCTTCCTGACTTTCTAGAAAATTAGAGACCCGCGCGTGAACAAGCGCCTGACGAGTTTCCCTGAGAGATTCTGGTTTCGCGTATTATAATTAATAGTGCATATTTATAAAAGAGAAAAACACATTTTCTTAATTATACGAATATTACAATACCTTAAATATTAACGATAAATAATCTTCGGATAAATAATCTATTTCTCTTCGGATAAATAATCTATTTCGCTCGATTCACGTTTTGAATCGTTCTGCAATCGTTACTAAATATTTCTATATATGCGGAGTAGATTAAATTATCAACGAATAAATAAAATAAAATATTTTAGTCCCCACGTTTTCGAGATCGATTCAGATTAGACTCCAACAGAAAGCAGCACCGGTGGCCACTCGTGTGTCTAAACCGTTTACCTTTCACCAGAGAAGAATAATCAATATGCCAGACATGGGCGGCCATATCAGATAGTTAGAGAAAAATATAGTAAATTTATTGATTTGACTGTTCGTTAATCAATTCGTCAGTAACTCGGAATCTAAATTTTTATACTATCGTGTGAAACTATTTTTGGAGTTGTTCTTTGCATTGTGTAGGATGCTCTGGCGCAATTATTTAATATTTCAGACGCCAGATCAGGTTTCAACCCACTAAATTATTTTCCAGACGTAGATCAAAGAAATCGCTTTACATATTTCCGGGATTCTCTTATAAATTACGATGTCTTTGCGACAATTATCGTCTCTTCGCAGACGATAACAGTGTGTAAACAAGATTTATCGGCTCGTTTCGCGAATAGTCTATAATGTGTGACCCAAGAGTCTCCCGAATCCTATGAATATCGAATTAATTTACGACAATGTTAATTCTCGTAATCACAATTCGCGTTAATAAGAATCATCATCAGATCAGATCACCCATCGAACATTTTATTTACCCACATTTCTTTTTATCAAGTCAATTTATTAAATCGACTTATTAAATATATTATTAAGTCAATTTATTTTATCAATCTAATAATAACGTCGACTTTTATCAAGGTGATAGCAAATAAATTCAATCGATAGATATTAAGTAATAATGATTCGGTTCTGGTTTTAAACAAATTTAGAAATGATTTAGAAATTAGTAAGAGCGTAAGCACGGATATCCTAGTGCCATTTTGAATATTAATATAATTATTATTATATTAACCATGTCATGTTAATATTATTATATAATATTATTATAATATTAATATTACTATAATATTAATATTAACTATATTAATTCGTGCTTGGACTCTTATTGATCCAGAAATAATTTCTCAATCGATAGAATGGCAATTTCAAAACACACGTAAGACAAAAGGAAAGCGAAACGTTTTGGAACAGTCAACACGGACGAAGGAGTCGTGTATTGCGCGTGAGATCTCTTTCAGTTTTTCTTTTTCCGCTCACCATCCTCGTGATTTCGCGTGCTATGTAACAACTCCGTTGACGTAACGAGCTGATTGTGTCACTCAACAGGTGGGATCCCGTACGGAAGTGTGAGTGGCATGCTGGCCAAGTACCCGGGCTACGTTCAAGTCAACAGCCCTCATCAGGCCAGACAATTGGACACCTTCGGCTTCGCTCAGCGCCCGGTGATCATTACGCCGAATCTGCGCGCCAACCGGCCGCTGGGAGTCGCGTCCCGACCCGTGCAGATCTACAATCTACCCGCAGTCGTCGCCCCCGGCATCGTCGGTACGATCAGCCAAATCGGCTATTAGCCTGCCGAGCAGACCTCTCCGTTGGAGAAGCGCCGAAGTCTCGCTGTGATCATTCGAACGCTGCAGTCGCATGACGGAACATCCTCCGGCCACTCTCTTGTCATTCGTGAAGAAAAGAATATGTTGAGAGCGTCCCCTGTTGAAAAAATCAGGTGGGAATCCATATAGGAAATTTATATAGGACGTTCATGTGGATTTAAGTCAATAATCCAGATTCTAGTTAACAATCCATGTGGATTCTTATATGGATTTTCACACATCGTGTGGATTCCCGAGTCGAGATTTTCAATTCTACATTAAGTCTCCAAAGGAAAGAAAACGGAGATAAGTTCCTATTTGTAGTAACAAAAGAGTACAATAAGTTTTCCTTTAATACTACAAATAAAAGTGAATACCTTCAGAGTCCAAATTTTAGTTCTGCGTTAAATCTTCAAGTGGAAAAAAACGGCAATAATTTCCTCATTTGTATCACAGGAGCGCAATAAAAGAGCTTAAAAGACTAAATATAGAATTAAATTCGACTTAAAGTAGAACTAAAATTTCGAGTCGAATTTCGAGGTTTCACACACCATGTGGATTCTGAATATCCTATGCGGATTCACATGAATTCCCTTGGATTTCCGTGGGAATCCACCTGGAAATTTTCAACAGGGTTGCGGGGGTCGCGCAAAAATTGCATCCCGCTGCGGTCGAATCGGCGATCGCGAGAAGTACCGTCGCGAATGAAGTTCTTACGTTCTTGTCGCCGAGTCAACGAGATTCGCAAGCGCCGAGCTAAGCTGCGCGACACCTTTCGCGTAAATTATCCGTAATTGCCAACGATAATGCTCGTTACTTGAGGATTATTCTCTCTTTCTCTCCCGCTCTCGAGCCCCAGTCGGAGAGCCTTACGAAGCGACGCTACGTGCGCTCCAACGTCGTCCTGTATTTATGTGCCACTCATTCATTCATTGCCATATTTTTTTAGTATACTGTAAAGTCCATGTTTGTAAAAATAGATAAATATACACGGATGCCTGGCGAGACGTCGTTGCGTTGTTATTAATGTCACTTGTTAGTGCGACCATTTGCAAGTTTCACACGTGGAAATTACGAAGACGACACCCCCACGGATGTCACAAACGTGTGGTGATATTTGACACTTTTGCGATGTGGAATGATGACATTTGTCTCGAATTAGAATCTTCCGTATACAAACAAAAAATGCTATTTCATCAATAAAATTAATCAACACCATAATTATAGTAAATCTTCTTGATTCGATAACGGTGCTATCGGAACTAATACATAACACATTGTTTTGATAAAACTCGAGTAATAATTTCAATACCGCTAATAATACAGATACAGATCAGGTGCTCCTCTTCTCTGACGAAACAACCTGAAATATTCCCGAAATGCCGGAAACGATTCGACCGAAAAAACCGTTTGGCTCCCGATCTACGCGATTTCGCGAGGATCGAGCGGATCACGAGTCCGCGATCCACCCTTCCGACACACCCTGGACACGGTGCAACGAGGGTAAAGAGGCACGTTTGAGGAGAGAAAGTATAAATGACAACGGACACGATGTCTGTCCCTTAGTCGTCACGAGCCGCACGCACGATGCATTACACGTTGCACGTGAGTATCCTCGCATGTCAAAGCAGGTCCGTCCGTCTATTCGTCTATCGTACACGAGGAAGGGGAGGGGGGGGGGGGGCGAAGAGAACCGCGATTTCGCAATAAACCGGAAGTCACGAAAAATCCGTCGCGTGCCGAGGAGATCAGTGCGAAGTGTCGGATCGCGGATTATTTCGCGAGAAAGCGCGGACGCAGGATCTTCCCCTCTTCCTCTGTCTCTCTGTCTATCTGTCTCTCGGTCGGTGGTAAATCGTGGAAATCAATCACAGCGCGCGATTCGACGTAATGACCGAACGAGACGCTCTCGAATTCATTTACGAGGATACCCGTCTGCCTCGGTCTTCGTGTTACTTGATTTGTTGCGCGCGAGAGCACATTCGGTATACTGCAACGTAAACGTTCGATTTATCCCGTGGCTGTTTAATATGCGAGGAGAATGGCAGCTTTCAAAATTCACGTTCGGCTGGGTTCAGTAGATCTCACGATACAGGAATATATTCCCGTTTCGGTTAAGTTCAAGAAACAGATAAATCACCCGGCGGCGTAACAACCCGCCATTAAGCGTGTCATCGTGATCTGCAATTTCACGCGCATAGCGCGGCTATAAAGTTAGTCCAGTTCTGAACCACGATGATTCATACGCAACTCCATGTGAGCAAATGCTGGCAGACACGTCGGCATTACAAGATGTGCAGTTATTGGAAATTTCAATCAGCTCATTCGCGTGCCGCTGAAGCCGAACGATAATATCTTTATGAGATCCCAGGTATTTTGTAACAGCTGTGCCGTCGGTGTTTAATTATTATTTTTATTTACTTCTCGCGTTGAGTGGACAAAGATTATCACTTATTTTTCTAAACTTTTATCACTTTCTTTTTTTGACATTTCCTTCTTCGAATATTTCGTATCCAATTTTTGCCGTCGATGGCACGTATTATTTTTTCTCGGAATCGCGGCTGATGGAAGAAAAAACATTGAGTCGTCGGGGGTTTTATTAAGCGTACGATTTTTTGGCGGATAGATAATAATAAATGTAAAATGTGTGTCGCTGAATGAGCGCCCGCCATGATGTAGGCGCCAGAGCGTTAGCGCGGCTAACTTGATGTGAACGTCGCAGTATACGGCGGAAGTCGCGTCGTCCAGCTGCATTACGCATTATAAAGTGCGCTGACATTATAAAGCGACGGTCTGAAATTGCTGCCTGATAGCTATATATCTTATAAAACGCCGGGTAAGAAATAACAGGCGGTGAAAGATCCGTACATAACGCTACGCCCTCGCGCTCGTACGAGTCTTACATAAATCGGAGGAGTATCTGCGATCGCAACTTCCGTTATAGAGTTTCCATCTTGCGGAGCGTTGAGCAATTAAAACGACCGATCGATTGGGAAAGAAATTTTTCAATCCGAAGCTGAGTAAACGCTGAACGCTTCGTAGAACGATGTTGGCCTTACTTGGTCAATTAGAACCTAACGCAAATTATTCGCGATGAATTTTAATTGTGGGAGGATAATAATGTTCAAAAATACGCAAATGCACTCGCCAAATTTTCTTGTTATACAAATTTTCTCAAATATGCACAGTAAAATTATCTTCCACCCATCAAAATTATGAATCCTTCGAAATATTAAATGAATTTCGTTCTTTACTTGATTCGACAAAAACACGATAAATCTTTCACGCCAACTTAATACCTCCCCGTCGACTTTGTGATCATTTTTTTTGCCGGATGTGAATTAATTTTAATTAATTTAGCAGCGTCAAAGTAACTCGACTGTGCGAATTTGTCCGGTTCGTGCGGCCTTGCCTCAATACGTGTGTACGTTGCACTTCGCGAAAATGCATTCGGCGTGACCGCACACAGACCGATCCGATTCTGCTATTATAAGAATCGGTTTCTACATGAGGAGAGACGACAGACGGCTAATAAGCACGCCGGGAGACGATATTTGCACGCGCGGGCGTGCGCGCGTGCGTGTCGACGCTCCTCTTCGCCGAGATTTTGCACAATCGGCACACACACGGTGCGTTGATCACCGGATTTATGTGCATACGCGTTTCTCCCTCTCCCTCTCTCTCTCTTTTTCTGTCTTCTAGTCGCCTTATGCAATGACAAATAAAACATAATGCTATAGAAGGATCGTCCGTCACGCTACCAGTGCACCGTCGCGCGTTGCGCTGTCCATAACTTCTTCTTTCTCCCTCCTCTTCTTCTTCATTTTCTTCTTCTTTGCAAAAATCTCGCGCGAACACGGCGATAATGTCGAATTATTTCGCGCTCGAATCGCATAAATATCGACATTTGCCGCGAAATGACCTTTCGGTTTCGGAGAGAGGAAGAGAAAGAGCGAGATAGATAAAGAGAGTAGAAGAGAGATAGATTGTTACCTCGATATTATATTTGTACTCTCTCCATGCTGAGGTCCCCGTCCACTCAAGCATGCAAATCCTATATTTAGTTAATACTAGTTAATACTAATATCTGCTTATAATCGAGTGTTTTGCAAAATAATCGCGTAGCCGAAATTTATTGCCGAACAGTCGCTAAATACGAGCGTGTATTAACGACGAAGTTATTACCATAAAATATGGATGCGTTATGCTAAGTATTGCGCGGAAAAGAATTTTTTTATCAACCGAATTATGCACAAAGTCACCGGAACGCTGTCCGCACGTTGATAAATTTTCAAGAAATTCTGACAAAAAAATGGTAGAAAAACGCGAAGTCGCGCGATCTCGCAAACTTTGCCACTGTATATATATTTTTACCTGAAAACGAACGCCCCTTTCCGCGACCGCGGTGTTAACATCGCGGATTCTCCTCCGTTGCAGATGCTGTTCCACTGCGTCGTGCTCTGGTGCGCAATCAGCGGCGGCAGAACAGCGCGAAGCGCGATCAGTAAGTATGCCCTTTTCTCCGAGTAATTGACTCATTATTCAGGTTGGACAGGTGTACGTAAATTTGACAACTACTTTATTAGTCGTTAAAAAAATTCTTTTCTCTCAAATTGATTTCCGAGTCGGATTTGTTCGCGAAACGTCGGAAACAAATCCTTGAAGTACGACAGATCACGTCCGCGAATGCAAATCAAAACGTTTCGAGACATTCGCGTTTAATCGCCGTTGAGATTCGACCAGCGATAAAATATCTCTTTTATTAAACCACTCCTTTCTAAATCTCCTTTTTAGGCCCCGAGATCTTGGTGAACTTCGCTAAGAACGTGGCCTCGGCGATATCGCCGGCGATATTAGGCGACGAACAACAGCGCAGCAACCAGTCGTCCTTCCGATCCATCCTGGCGATACCCATCCGCTTCAACGGCGATGAGTTGGAATCACCTTCGACCTTGGACAACGTAGTCGACAAGACGACCAATTCAGCCAATTATTACGAGCCACGCACGAACCCTTATCCCTACAACGGCCTCTACGAGAATCCTGCGACAAAAGTGGAAGAATCACGAGGGAGCGGAGGACTCGAGCAATCCTTGCCGAACGAAGAATCCTACCTGCGCCAAGGACGGCCGAGTTTCTACAATCAGCCTTACAACTTCCCTCCGAGTGACAACCTCAGGGCGGCCGAGAAATCGGCCGTCGACGGCCGATTTACGACGAGCGACGTCGAGTCGCCGATCGGCAACATCGAGCAATCGTCCACCAATCAGTACTCCTCCTATGCGGGTGGCTTTCACAAAGGTCCCTTCGGTCTCTATCTAGGCGGGAAGCCCTACGGAGGTTTCCTATGGACACTTCCACCCTTACGATGATCATCACGGGGACCACGACGGCGGGAGTTCAGAAGAGAACGCGCGGGTCGAAAACAACGGCACGCACAATCGTGGTTACGGGCCCTATTTCGGCCACCACGACCATGGGCATCACTATGGATCCTATGGTGGCTCGCCGTTCCCTTACGGCGGGTATCACGGCTACGGGCCTCACGGGCACCATCACAGAAACGGGAACGACACCGACGGGCACGGACGGAATGGACAGTACGGGTATCATGGGCCTCATCATCACGACGGGCCTGACTTTTATGGGCCTCCCGGCTATGGTTATGGACACCACGGTTATGGGCACCACGGTAACGGCAATAGGAATGGCAACGGCAATGGTAATAACAGGCAGACGGAGGAGCCGGCCAATGGCAACGGCGACAGGAATAACTCGACAAAAAACGGCTACCCGCACCCTTATGGGCCCCCTTTGAAGCCCCTATTCCCCCTCCACACTTTCCCGCCCCCGTTCAACATTCTGCCGTACGACCACTTCCACTTCAAGGGCGGACCTGTGGCCGGGGTTGGCCACGTTGGCTATCCTCTATTTGCCGATCCTTATCTGATTGGCTTACCCTTCCACTTCCCTTACGGACCTTTCTTTCACGGTAAGAAGTACCTACCGCCGAAGGGCAAGCCGGTCGACTCCGGCGAGTCCGGCGAGTCCGGCGAGTCCGGTGAGCATCCGGAGTCGCCCGGAGAACTCACGGACGACGGCGAGAATCCCGAGCGAATAACGGCGATCAATCAAGAGGAAGTGGCGCCGGCTCCTACCTCGAATCGATACAAGACGTCAGACCAGAAGAGTCTCAAACGGATCGGCCTGGTCAGCTTGGAGAATCGGAAAATCTGAAGACACCAACGTTAAAAATACAACCACGTTTATTAACTTTCCAATCTGATATTCGGTGAAACTGACAATTGCAAGCGACATAAAGAAAACCGCAGTGCATAGCGAATCAAAATCGCGGGAAAAAGCTTCATTCTATTTTTCGGATAAGAATGGGCTACCCCCAAGTAGCGTCGTAATAGGAATAATCTATTTTGGGACATCTTTGGGTATTCTAATCAGAATCAATGCTGTATCTAGAAAAATCATGAGAAATTTCTACGCAGGTAGACGTAATAATGCGTATATACGAAGTACATGCGGTATGAGAATCTCGAAGCAATCCTTGTGTCTTTCTGAGCGGATTCCCGAGTAACACCCCCTCCTTTATTTGTAAGACGGAAAGTTAAATAACGATACAAGGAATGCGCCTAAGTGTAATTTTAATTTTAAGCGTGGTCCTTTCGAGTTCAGCTGAGAAGTGCGAGAGGGAAGAGTCGCGGGCTGAATATAAGACGGGAACATCACACCATGATTTTCTGCGAGTTTCCTCCGGCTAGCGAAATAACGTGATTTAAGCGCTGATTGTTGTTGCCGATTATGTATACTATTGAAAGATATAATAAAGTTAATAATGTTCACTGAGAAGGTTATGAACTTCATCCAGCGCGGGCGCACCGTCACGAAGAATACGGAGAAGCGTTCGACAACTGCGTAATAGAGCCGGGTAAACGGCTGGCGAACTCCACAACACGCGATCCCCGATGACACGCTCGGCGAAATGACTGCTCGTTGTTGTCCGTTAACCTTCGACGCGTCTCTTGGGCTCGCCGCGATATCGGATCCGTACGAAAGAGAAGCCGATAATTAGCGAGCCCGCTAATTAAAAGCCGCGCGACACGCGCACGTCAAGATTTATCATCGGTTCAGCATTGCGACGTTCCCACGATTATGATGCAGTAGGGAACGTTCTCATGATTATTGCCCGGCCTTTACCTACGCAACAGCCGTCTACGTCGTCCGAACAATGCACGGGGCTTAGCATGGTCCAGTAATTTTCGCGGCCTCCATCGGACGATTTCGCGAGGCATGCGCATGGCATCTATCTAACCAGCGTCAATGACGATACGAGGTGCGATTATGCAAGGCACGTGTTAGAGACGCTTAATTTTCACATAATTAGCCGCATCCGTTTGCTCGCGCGGGGAAAGAACCGCTGACGAATCTTGACAACTGTAACATTTTTACAATAACCGTTTTGGCGCGACGTTTAACCTCCCCCGGACATTTCCCCGATGGGGAAATATTTTACCGAAAATATGACGAAGTTTAGTTAGAGAGTAACAGACAGATTTCGTTGCGACAGCATAAAATTTGCCGTGCCAGCAAATGATTTTTCTCCGCGTACGACGAACGTCACAGTGAATAAACACTTGCCGCAATATCCCACAAAAAGAGGAAGATCTCGTCACATGATTGACAGGTGTCAAATTTATATCGCTTGAAAATTACATCGTTTCCTTCTGTTCGTTAATCAGTTCGTCCTTGAAGATGTTACATGTCGGCGAAGATCTCCCGAAGAACGAGTCTGTTTTCTTTCGAGATCCTTCTCGACTAGAAAATATGTTACGGTGCCCGTTGTAAAGGTAAATGCGTAACGATTTACGTAACACGCAGGAAATCATTCGTTATTCCGAATATCGATCGCGGCTTCAGTCCCGTTTGTCAGGAACGAAAAATAAATCGGCGGAAAACAATCGAGCGTGAAGGTGAGTGGAAGGAGGGAAATTATAAAAAAGGCGAAGACAATCGCGGAATATTCATATGATTGGTGTCCCGATCGAACGAGACGCGATACCGCTTCTAATTGCGTTGTCGCGCGATCCATGATAAGTGTAAGATATCGAGGAAGCGAAGGAATAAGGAGTATATACTATCGACCAAAAGGATCAAAAGAAGAAGTGACAACCTCCTAACAAAGCGTCCTCAATTTTTCTAACAGATCTTTATCTTTGTCAGCCCACGTGTGAAGATTATATTATTCATGTGTAATGCTCGGCTTATATCGCACGTATGCTGAGGTGACTTTATCCGAGAGACAACGATCTTTTCCAATCTTCCTTGACATATTCATCCTCTTTTACATTGAGAGAGAAGAAATATATAAAAAATAAAAATTCGGCTTCATCTTATAATTATATCGTGTATGAGAAAAGCTCGAATACTCACATCGATCATTTCCTGCGCGAAATTTATGGCTTCCCGACCGACTTCGTCTCTCTTCTCGCAAATTTCGGCAATTCTAACGAAATTATATCGCCGAGAACGTCGTCGCGGAATTGGGCAACCGGCCGTATATCAGCTTAGGCGCAATGTATCAGCGTAATTTTGCCAACGACACGTTTTGTAAGAGAATCCCCTCTTACGTAAGCGGTCGCATCGTCTGTTTTGCCTCTTTCTGTTTCGCTTGCGATATTCGGAGAGGAGCGTTTCCTCGTGCTCGGCGGCCCGGGATTCACCGGTGGGCCCGGGCATTATTGCCGGCGATAAGCGATTACGGCGGTCATTAAGTATCGTAACCCGGCGTACGGTATTGCGCGACACCGTATGATTCTGTCCGCCGGCCGCCGATAATAAGGGGGCTCGCGGACACACGCGAGCAACCGCGCCGAGGAAGAAATTTTCGGATGTCAAGGCGTCCATCGCGGGCGGAGCGGCCACGCCGCGAGCGCGCGGGAACTCACGTGAATGTCGCACGTGCGCGGTCGCGTCGTGTCTCTCTTTCATAATGCCCAAGCCGCAACTCACTCGTGTAATCTCAGGGTTCAACAATGAAGTTTCCTATTAGCACAGACGTAGAGGCCAATGCGTGGCTCCGGAAAAGCGTGACTCTCGTGGGGGGTCCACGGCGCGCGCGCGCGCGTCGCCAGGACCCCGCCTTTGTTATAAAAGAAGCCGTGTCATAGAGAACCGATAGACAGTGGTATTCGGTATATAACGACAGATGGGAAAAAATCGGCGCGACTGAGAATCAGCGAGAGACCGTCAGCTCGATCGCACATTTGCAACCACAAGAGAATGGCGTGCCTGAAGATCGTAAGTGCGCGCCGAGGCGCGGGAAGCCGCGAGTCGAAAGTCGCGCGCGGTTCACAGTCCCTCCTCGCGAACTTTCTTCCCCGATATCGTCCGTACTGATTTCCCATCAATTTCTTTGCGACGCATCGTACAATTTTCATAACTTTCTCTAACTTTTTTATATAAATTTTCTAATCCGACTTTTCCCAACCTTTTCGGGAATACTAATACTTACGTATACTCAGAAGAAAAAGTTTCTTTGGATTTAGTATACGTGCTTGTTTCACTTGGTTCTGTTTAATATAAACAATATAATTTAATGTCAAATATCATTTTGTTTGGATGAAAATCTTATCGCATCACTAGAATAAACCATGTTGTTTGATTGGAAAAAAAAAGTGCTATTTAGAGGAGATGATATTTCTTCAATAAAAACAATTTATTTTATCATATATTAAATGTAAATCATATAATAAATCATCATATAATAAATTAAAAAATATTGTATCATGGAAACACAAAAAAGTCTTTTAATATTTACCTAACACAGTATTCCTTTTTTCAAGTAAAGTCAAATGTTACATTCACGACAAAATTCTATAGGGAAAAGGGAAGTCTCGTCATGTGATCGGCGGATGTCATATTTATGTCACTTAAAAATCAAATCACTTTCATCTCATTTTAGTATCATCTTCATTCTGAAGAGGTTAACTTACGAATTTTTTAACATCCTCCGCTGTTCTTAAATTTCTAAACTTCCCAGTGACGCGTGTGGTGTAAATTTTAGATTGCGGTTTTCTTGAACGCGAAGTGACTTCATCGTGCGACAACTCCCGGTGACTCGCGCGAGTCATTAAAACGGGATTCACTTTGTCGTTTCAACACAATTTTGCGAGAAATGAATCCTCCGGTGTCGCGAGTGATCAATCCGGACGAGCTCGTTACGTTTAAGGAACGAAATAATTCTTCTCGACCGTCGTCGACCGGCATTGAAATCTCCCTTGCTTTTGCAGTATATTATTCTGCTTTTGGCCGTTGCAATCGGTGTGGCAGTTGCGAAACCGGGATACCTGGGCTACGGATACGGCTACTATCCATACTACGGCGGCTACCACGGATTCCACGGATACGGACACGGATACGGCCATGGCTACGGTCACGGCTACGGATACGGTAGGATTTATCGAGGTAAAATCGACACAATTTACAATACTACTCTCGCAACATCATCGCAGGGTCACCACAGAATCGTCATTTCCCTCATCGATTCGTACGTCTCCTCTTTCACTTCGTACCGCTATTGATTTGCTGCTACACTCGTGACTGTTTCCTCACCTCTTATCGCGACCACTTAATGTCGCATTGATAACGTAAAGTTGAATAATCCTGATTTAACTTTAGATAATTTTATCGTAAAAAACACATAGAATCGTGCGAGAATACAATGTTGGCAAGAAGTTAAGCGAGTTTTTCATAGATCGTTGAAAGCGGACCAGATAAATTGTTCCAGACAGCAGCACAGTCTTGTTTTCAGGTTTTGTATACCGACGCGACAGATTTTTTATTACACAACCGCAAAACACGCAAACTCTGTACAGAACGGCTCGTATGTGCGCGTGTGCGAGCTCGCCTTCGTGACAAAGAAATCATATACGCTCACACACACACATATACGCGTATTCATTACTACTCGCAAAGAAATTGTTCGCCGGCGGAAATATTGACGTGTTATTCTTTCATCCCTGCTTAGGATATCCGTTCTATGGCGGCTACGGCGGCTACGGCGGTTACGGCGGCTACGGCGGCTACGGCCATCACGGTCATCATTATTATTAAGGTGGACACGAAGCAACAGTCTTTCTCTGGATCTCTTGGATCCACCATCCTAAGAAGAGTGAGCCCCGAGTTATTCAAACATAACTTATGTCGCTTTCTCCCCGCTATGTATTTTCATTGCTAACATTGAACCGCCGGACGATCGAGATCGGTCGGTCGAAGAACTTCCATCCACGTGACGTTCGCATCGAAATACGCGCACGCAGGAAGTACTTACTTGAGAAGAAACTTTCAACAAACACGATCACAAAAGGGGAAAAAATTAAAAAAATAAAATAGATCGCAACGCGCTACGTTCGTACGTCATAAATACATGTCGAGTATAAATATGCCGATGGAAATAAATTGTCACATCACAGCGAAAATCGAATCTCCGTAACGACATCCTCGATAACGCCGAATGACGATGACGATACTGCTACCAATAATTGTTATCAACGCACAATTATTTCGACATCGGTCGGTGAGAAGCACCTGCTTGCCGCTTCGAGTGAAGATACTGCCACTTTTTATTAGTTTAGCTTGAGATGTCGCCTCACAAAATTTAGGGAGCACCCGAGTCGAAGTTCTGATGCTACTTGTTTTTTACGCTCTTAAGAACAGTTTGCACCTATTTACTCTCTAAAGTGCAATCAGTGTATTATCGTTAAGAAGCAATCAATATTCACTAGTGATTATAAGTATAGTTCTACTAATGAGTAAAATTTCGCTGCAAAAGTCTGTCAGTAGCAATGATTGTTTCTACCAGAGAGATCTAATTACAGAAACAGTGAAAAAAAATATCATTTATTACAATTTCTTTATTACAATAATCACATTGTCATCCTTGAAGTGTTGTCAATAATTTTATCTGAAATATTCTTAATTATGTTTAATCGATTCAAATCATATCGCATTTAAAAAATACATTTATCCCGATGAGACTCGAACAGTGAATTACCGGCTAAAATCGAAGAAGTGTAAGACAAAAGAGCTGAGTGAAAGTGTTTCCATTGAAGATTAATGAATACTCATTGCTTACAGGTGCAATGTTTTACTGATTCAATCAGCGATATTTTCATTGATTCGGCTTAAGAGAGTAGATAGTCTACAGACTAATAAAAATCTACTTTTGCGATACTGACACTTTTCCCCTGAACCTTTAAATCTACAGGTTCATTTTAATACCTTGAACCACCTCTTTCGAAGCCAAAGTAGCGAAAGTGAAATTGAAGGCATCATAAAGTAAAGGATGATTGAAGGCATCATAAAGTAGAAAATAAGAATAAATTATATAATTAGAATCGAAATTGAATCTATCTTGTTATCTTAGCTCCTGTTGAGTTGCAAAATAAAAGGTTTAACTAGTGGAATTAAAATTTCGACTCGGGCAAAAACAAAAGCGACAATTCAGAGCGCGGAGAATCCAACCGACGATTTGTTTTCTCGCGTACTTGAATAGGCAGCAGCGCGCAGTGACTCATTCGTCAAACCGGGAAGAACACAACACCGCACGATGATATCAGTCATTCTTCTGCGGAATGACGATTATGCAAAGTGACAGGTGCGACTGTCGCGATCGCATAAAGTGGAGTGTAGTTTCGAGTGCACTCGAGGCACTGTTTAGAGACACGAGCGAGAAAGAAGACGCGCGTCCGCCTACGCGTCGCTTTATTCAATTTGCAAGTCCTCCTGACATCGCACACGAGAGTCCTTTGTCCATTAATTACAGAGCGCGTGGATCATACCTCCGTTTTCTTTTTCGTTCCCCTCCTTCTTACATCAACTGGCGGTTACGGCAACCGAGGTCTGGCCGCGCGCCGAGTGCTTCGTCATGCGAGCGCCGCCTAAGCTGCCGTAAGCGCGTTTCGGTATCCTCGGCATTTCGTAGGAAATGTAAAGCCGCATCGAATGGCGTGTTCGTGTTCCGCGTTCGTCCCGGTGTGCTTTCACGCGTCGAGAAATATTATTTAACGTTTCTCTTTCTCTCTCTCTCTCTCTCTTTCTCTTTCTGTCTCCCAGGCGAGGTTTACATTTTAGCGCTTCTCCAACGATCCACGACGCTCCTGACGTTTAATACGTATAATTAAGCTGATACGCTAATTAATCGTCGTTAATTAAAAGTGCGGAGCTGTCAGCGCACTGTCACCTAGCTGCGCGAGGATATGAGAAATGTTTCGATGCGATTGGAATTAAGTTAGATAAATGATTGCGCGCTCTCTCGGCGCGAGACGCGGGGACTTCTTCTTCGGTCGCGACCCACATACCCGGACTTTCCAGCCGAAGAGAACGGTAGATCGTGTACTTTTCGGACCTGTTACGAACGACAACATGTCTCTGCGTGTAATGAGCATCCAGCGCAAGCTGTTTAGAACGTCGGTGCCGGATAAAAGGACGGTTCGAGGAAAATCTGCAAAATTATCGAACAACGCCGAAAATATCACAGGTTGAATCACGGTCGCGACCCGCCGTGATTTCCCGCTATTCTTCGCATGGATCTTCGATTTTACCGATTTCCAGGGAGATCCACCCTTACCGGGGGAAATGTTACTCTTCATGGTTCACTGCCTTAAATCGACCTAAGAGTAAATTCGATTGTGAATCTTGGCGCGAATTATGGCGTACTTTATAGACAAATGCAAATAAAAATTACCGCGTGCGATCACCTCCTGTTTAATCAAACGTGCAGTTTTGTCGTTCACTTTTATCGGTGAAATTTTTTTAATCACTGACATCTAACAAAACATATATTACGATAAAAATGTATTGCGAGTTGAATTATGAATCGCGATCGATCGTGATTTCTCGCTGCTCTTCACTCGAGTTTTCCGATTCTCAAGGAGATATCGCGTTCGTCGCGGAAAACGTTACTATCTTCACGATTTATTATTATCCTACATAAGTGCAATTAACCAAATAACTTAATTAATTAAATTCGATTATGTCTCTTGCGCAAATTACGACGGAAATTTATAGATACACGTGAATAAAGATTATTCCACACGGCTATATATTTCTTTTTTATCAAACGTATTATTTTTATCTGGTGAATTAGTTCCTGTGCGATATCTATGAGCGAATCGTCGGAATAAGCAATTGAAATTCAGTTAATGAGGCGTTCGCAGATTCGTGAGACGACCTTGATGGGACAACTTATGGAGATGTGAGGCTAAGTAAAAGTGAAACATCTCTGATACACGGCGTGTCGTGTATATTATGACGGTTAATGCGTTGGCTGCCTTAAACAGCTCCGGCGCCCTCGTGACATTTAAATGGCGAAAATTTTGTCAGGAGGCCACACCGGTGCATTACTGCTGTCGTGCTTTGTATCGCGCGATCCTCGCGAATAATTATTTTTAGCCCGCGAAGCGGCTCCGTCTAAACAATTTATTGCGACATTCTCGGCTCGTTCAGACATTTCTCGAATCGAAATCCCAGTTCCAAATTCTAGTCTAATTTTGCATTAAGTCTTCAAAAGTCTCCTATTATGCTCCTCTATGCTCCACAAATAGGAAGTCATTGTTGTTTTCCCCCATTTGAAGGCTTAATGTAGAATTGAAAATCTCGGCTCGAGCCGTTGATAAATGCTTATCGGAATCATCAGAGTGTGATAGATAGATTCAACGAGAAGTTGAAGTCGTCGCGGCTTCAATTGGGCAAATTGTCCAGGAATTTCGACGGTGAAATGAACGAATGCGTCGAGCGCAATTAACGAGAGAAGATACGCCCGTTATTACTTCCGCCCAACTTATTTCGCGTGTTTGCCGAAGAATGCACTGATTGATCTCACCACATCGCTCGCGAGAAACTACAGCTCCGGCCAAGAATGCGAGGCGCCTTTGACGAATCGAAGTAAGCCAAAGTAGCCATCGTTTTCTCAGGAAAATCGGAGAACGGTAAATTTTCGGCAAATTTCCAGATCGACCAAGGCATATATCAAAATACTAACAGAGTATCTTTTCGTAATCTAAGTGCCTTTCCCTTTAATTTATCCGGTTTGTTCGCATCTTCCCGCGAAGAAGCCGTTCACGCTTTTGGCCAAGATTGTAATTGCGTTTCTCTCTGCTACGATATCAATAACGATAAAGATCAGAGACTCACTTAGGCGTCTTCGAGGAACCTCGTGCAAGCCGCGGTTTACGCGGCTTCTCGAAGCGCGACGCTTCGAGCGTTAATAACTTTCGCGCGCTAAACGATAACGCGAGTTCCTCGACGCGACTCTTCGAGATGGAGAAGGAGTCATGGAAACCTGAAAACATCGACAGCAACGACAAAATACCACCTCTCCGTGCATTCCTAATCAATTGGGAAACCGGCCGGACGGCAGATGCGTCGTATTGAAAACGAGCGTCGCGCGCGAAACCCGCAATGAAGTTAATACGTTAACTATCGAGCCGGCGCGAACGAGCACGCTGCAAAAATTTATTACTTCGTAATATTTACTTCACCGACGACGGATAATGGCGAGTGATGGGAAGTAACACTATTAGCGTTTCTTTCGGAGTAGGATTTTCCTCCTGCTTCTCCTCCGTTCCTTCGGCGTCGAGGCATCAATCACATTTTAACGTCGTGATTTTTGTACGATTAAGATCTACCCGCGTCGCATGCTTAGCGAGAAGGTTAGCAAGGAGATAAAATTTCGATTAAGACGCGCGCGTCTTGGCAAGAAAATAAGAAGAGCTCGGAAACGCTGACTCTCTTCAACCGAAGTTAATTAATCGAATTAATTCGACAGGCACGTGTGACTATGAACAGTCGAGAGCTTCGAGTCTTTTGACGGAGCGTCGATCAATAATGAAGGCCGTGTCCTTTGGAGTTACCCAATTTAAGAATAATGACCTCAGGAGCAAAGTAGAAAATAGCGTGCGGGGTGATTCGCATGCAAATGTACGATCTCGTCTCATAGATCGCCTTGTTTCTTCATCATCATGTGCGTAATCGATGACCCAGTGAGCACCAACAAATAGTAACGTAACACCAATATTATAATTCCCCGCTCAACAACGTAACTGTTACATAACACACGCACGTTATATTATATTTACGTTAAGTGGGAAATTTATATACCGAATGAAATATCCGATCATATCGGATAATCCAATTAAAAAGTAACGATATATTTAATCAAGCGCAATGTCCGATCGTTTCGTTATTTCATACCGATAAAAATTACAGCAGATGTACAAAGAACGACTAATTTTCCGATTAGGTTTCATCGGTAACTTCATCGGATAATGATATTCATCGCTTAATGGGACGATGGAAATAACGATCGGATACATTATTTAATCGGTTTATCCGATGGCAATTTTTTTCAGTTGACATTGATATTATGTTACTGTTCTTGAATTATATTTCTTTGTCCTCGATATTTTCATCCCAGCACCTGCTTCAATCTTCTTCTACTTTTTTTTGCAATCGCATACTTCCCAGTCGAAAATGCATACTTTTGCCTTTAAATATATATCTTTCTACTTAAAAAATATACATTTTTACAGTTTTTTCCTATTTGGAAGAAAGAAGGTTCAATACGAGTAACTTGGTCGTAAGTAAGAAATTTCAACACGAGTAACTTTTAAACGATATATCGTAAAGATTTATACACCCGTGGATTAATCCGGCGTTATCGAGTTTTTGCGCATCTTGAGGGTTCTTAAGGATCGCCTTACATCTCGCACATCGCGGGATAAACATTGTTCAAACGGTGAAACGTATATCGCGGCTGGTGACGTAAATGGGAATCGAGTACGCGCATATTTAGAAATCTCTCGCTGAAATTCACGCTTCCGAAACACGAACTTCTTCGCGAAATTACCCGCTTAATCTATAGTTCACGGTTGAGACACCGGGTCATTCTAATTCAAAGCCCGAGGCCGCTGATTAATCTTAACAGGGAGGCGAAGGCACGTTGTAATAAATCTCCGAGATACGTTCGCTAATAAAATCTTTTCGGACAGTGAGAGTATTTCATTTTAGATCCTTTCCACGAACAACCGAAGAGACATAAGAACGTATCGCGAAACGTCGTGAACTTTTCCATTTGCAACGTATCTTTCCTCAAATTGCAATTAAGAATCCAAGTTTATCGAAATTTTCGACACTAATAAGAAGTGACATTAGACAGATTACGAAAACGAAAAGCTCGTTTAATTTATTGATTTGTCCATTAATCTTCGTGAATACGGCCAAGATAACCGATGGTAATGAAGCGTTCATGGTATCGAATCGCTTTTTATCAGTGCATCAGTCGCTCACGCATCGTAAATCCTCGCTACACCCGTTGCATCAGACGAATAAACGCATCCTGATCGTGGGTGAGAACGGTGTCGTCCAAAGACCAAGACTGGTATAGAAAAGTATATTTTAAACAGAATTTGTGTTTGTTAACAAATACCGTTTCCAACAAATATCTCGTTTTCTAATCAATATTGAGTTGATGCAAAAGTTCGTTTTATTTTTTAATTAATTTTTCGTTCGGAAATTCTCGAGTTTCAATGAACGCGGGATCATGTAGCGACCGAGGAGATGGCTGGTCATTGAAAAAATTCGAGTTTTCCATTGGTCTTGTCTCTCTCCGAGTATCTCTCCGACATCTTATCCGGTAGAAACAGCCGGCGAAGGTCGCACGGGATGCGATCACGACCTTTTCTGCGGTTGTTGTGTCGAGCCCCTTCATTCAGTGGAGAACTAAATACTAAACGAAAGGTTAGCCTCACGAGAGCCAAACGAACTTCATTCATAGATAATTGCGGTGTCCCGTGAGTTATCTACTGTGTTCGCGGTCAAATCGATAAGAGCATTACGGCTCAGACGCGCGAAAGAAGTGCATCGGTCGATTTCGCCGCTCCCGGCGGGACCGTCTCTTAATTGGTCCTGACGATGGCCCGCAGCGATGATCTAAGGTCACGCCAACCATGATTTCGACCTTTCTAGGATTATGCACGGAACCTTAAATATACAGTGGGAACGAAGAAGCGAGAGAGCCGCGAGTTCTGCGCACCTGCGGCTGTCGATACAAGACATCCGAAGAATACTCTCCTCGCTTATTTATATTTTGCGTGCGTTACGTACCTTTATTTATTACGTTGCGTCCGTAGCACTCAATAAGTTAATTACAATAGTTTGCGAAAAATTTTTTTCATTATTTTCAACTAGACAAGGTGTTTCTTAAAGATTTTTGACAATAAACTAGCGTTATTAATTGGCCGCGCGCGAGTTCTCGAGATTCGGGGGAAATTCAGTAGGTGGAAATCGCGAACTGAGTTTTTTTCCCACGTACAATGGGCGCCCACGCGTCTGAAATCATCGCGCGTGGCGAGCTGACTCGCGCGATCGCAAAGAAATTTCTCACGCACCGAGCCGACCGGATGAGATCCTTTTTCGCGATCATGTTTATTCCGCTCGCATTAGAGCTTCATTAAACTTTCCAAGAACTCATCGTTCGTGCCTAACGTGGATATTTTGAATATCAATGAATCGATCGCGTATTTTAATTAATAAAAAAAGTTTACGGTAAGTTCGAAAACTTATTTGGTTTTAACATTGTTTGAAACTTACTTTTTTCACATGAAACAACATGCACATATCTGAAATTCCTCGGAAGAAAAAATGAGTTGAGCCCGATTGCAGAACACGAGCGTGTAAAACTTCGAAATGTCAAGCACGTTCTTCGACGTTTCATATTCGAATGGAATATCGTGATGATAAATCTGGAGATAATACGCGGAACGTCCGTCTCCGATTTCTATTAAACTTCGCGCTCTCTTCGTCGATGTCGCAAACCATTATAAACTATATTGACAGCGGAGGAAAAAAAAGCGACAGTGAAAAGACGTACAAACAGCATCGTCAAACTAATCATATTCTCGTGTGATTAGGGTTACAGCATTCCGCGCGAACGAGACGCCTGCGAAGGCTCGAAGAATTCGTCGATGGACTCTGGCTACCTCCGTGCGGGTGCATCGGAATTATTAATTAATCTAAAAGTCACAATAATTACATGATAGTGATTAATTTAGCTGCGGTAATTAGCGCGGTGATTATGCACGCATACTGGAAAGAGACGATTACTCAACGATATTTCATTATATTTGATGTCGCCGGCATGTACAATGTGGCCCATGGCATGTCATCTTCGGAAAAATTATTTCGTGCTTTTTCGTACATTTTTACAAATTATTCCATATTTTTTTATATATTTCTAACGAATCGTATATCCTCCGGAATCACGGTATACCGTCAACTATAATATTGCTGGTGAATGTTGATTGGTGAAAAAAATTATTAAAAATGATGAAAAAAGCATTTCGTACCTCTTCGTACATTTCTACAAATTATTTCATATTTTCTTGTGCACTTTCGCTGATTACATCCTCCGAAATCATGGTATGTCGCAAACCATACACGGACGATGGTGATTTATGACTTGAAGAACTCGGTGGCGATCAAGCCACCACCGCTTCGGAATGAAGCGCGAAATACACCGGAGACCGAAGATTTCTCTGCTACTGTTCTCTCACCCGTTAGCAAATTGCTCAGGTGCTTACCGTTAGTAATAGTATGCGCGTCATTGGTACTAAACTTTTATTGGACCCCACGGTAGCGTCGGCCGGTCGACTGGCGCGCTGCAATTCGCGCGGCGCAATGCAAGCTGACGACGGAGCCCGTCGTGTAATGTTTACGATGACCTGATGTCGATTGTTGAGCGTCTTCATTGTACCTAGTCAGGCTCGACGAGCAGGATTTGCAGGATTCGAGAGAGTGGATGTTAACGCGGCGCTCTCTTGCGCAACGAAAACCTGTCGGCTTTTCTTCCCGGTAACGAAAAATCTTGCGGAGTCTCCCGAATTTCGGCAATCCGATCGATCGTGAAATCAGCAGTATGATATTATTATTATTATTATTATCGTTATTATTTATAGCTTTGAAAGCTCGAAAGAAAAACAGTTTTCCCATTTTTCCGCGGTGCCTTCGGCTTCTGTCCCAAGAATAGAAAAATTCGTTCGGAAAAATTCACGCGTGTTCGATTAAAATCTACCACGTTTACTCTTTTCTATAAAAAAGATATAAGAAACCGAAAAAATCCACGGAAAGATGAGAAAAAACTGGATTTTTTTCAAACCTCCAAAACTATAATATTATTACTTCAATAAGTACTGATATCGGTGGAATTTTGTTGCGTCATATAATTAGCCCGTGAAAAAAGTTCGAAGGAGCATTTAAGGATGGGTCCCCAAAGTGGACGTATTAGATAATCCCGAATTAACGAGCGCATCATAGCCAAGCAGCCGGCAGTTACCATCCTATTATCTTTACGACGGACGAAATTAGCCAGACGCGAATGCCGAAATTCAAGTAACAGCTTTCGTCTGACTGGCGGCCGTAAATCGATTAGTGTTACATCACCGACAGTTCATAGCGCGGTTGTGCAATATTAAATGTCAACAATATCAAAATACACGAGCCGCAAAAATACACGGCACGGTCCATCGTGAGGCTCGCCGGGTGCTCGCTCACTCCGTCACCCTTGCTTTACGACGATGATTAAATTTGTCTTCTGTATTACACCGGCGCGTTCGTCTAAGAGAACCGACGGACGATAGAATTCAGCCGCGCACACGATCGAACAGTGAATGGGATCACGGACAGAAATATTTTGCTGGAACAGGAAATTTGTCAGTTACTATACGGATAGCAAAAGAGATCTGTTTGAGCGGTAAAAAGATTTGTTAGGAATATTAATTGCTATTTGCTAGATATATTAACAGAAAAATAATTTAGTTAGGTCAACTAAACGTTTTGCTCCGATAGCAAAATTATTTTTTCCTTGTAATATATATTTTTTGCTGTCCGCATAATAACTGAAAAACTTGCTGTGCCAATAAAATATTTTCTTCCGCGACGTTTTCGATAGCGAAAGTGTATCAGAGTTATCCCGGACGACCGGCCGGTCGTCGTTTTGGCGTCACTTTCAGTCGCCGCATTAGAAATTTACGATGAAGTGTCGCGCGTGGAGTTTGGAATCGCCTTAACTGCCGGATCGAGATTTATCGGCGTGGCCGTGGCTCCGTTGCTTAATTGCACGGCTAAGCGGGAATGAGAGAGACTAAACTGGTCCCGTTGGCATTTCGGTAACGTGCGTCAACACCGTTTTGGTAACACGCTCATTTGGACGCCACAGCGTGGAATGTCTCAGCGGGGCGAGTTCCTCAGCATTCTCCCGTGTAAGAGAATGCTGAAGGCGCCACGTCACGTCATTGTAACGTCGTTGTAATAGACTGTGAGTTGTACAACGTTCGGTTGAGCTCGTCTTGTGCAATCGGTAACGCGGATTCGATCGAGTCCGATAACGGGTGCGAAGACACACGTACAAAAGCTCTTGCAAAAGTTTCATCTTCAATCTTCACTGTGAATAAACGATACATTGTTGTCTCCCACCTTATTCGATCCGTTTTGGTCCAATCACTTATTCCCATTTGTTTTTAACAGCGAGCGAGGACAAAAATTTGAATTTTTTTACAAAAAATATACTCTAACTCTGTGTTTGTTAACAACTTAGAGTTTAAAGATTTGCATTTTTTAACAATGTAAAATTCAAAAACTTTTTCTTTAATAAACATTTTTATTAAAATTCAAACTTTTTGGTAAAGGTAAATTTTCGAATTTTAAGTTGTTGAAAAATTTTAATTCTCCCTTCGGTTAAATTTCATAATAAAAAAAAATCAATTTTCACGTTACTTTTGAAAGATTTTGGCCGCTGTAAAAATCACAGCATGCGGTAATTTCCAGAATCCATCGGTATGTGAAAATCGATTCCCGGCGTGACGCTGTTACATCACGCTGTTGCGCTGTTCAATATCAATATCAGTCAGCCTCACGCCGGCGGTCGTGTGCTTTTACTCATTTATCGTAACGCGGTATAAATCATCGCGCCACGACATCCCCTGTCCTCCCCCGACCACCTGTCTTCCACCGAAATAACGACATCGCCGTAAGCTCGTTTCAACGAGACGCCATTCATCACGCCGCCGTCGAACCCTGCGTGGTTCACGAGATATGCACCAGCCGGGCGATCCGGGCAACATTCTTCTCCCTTTCGATCTTGCCGTATCCTTGAGTCTCGCGCGAAATCATCGTCCCCGGACGTTCGTCGGATCAGGGACGAATATACGGAGTCCTTCGCGATCGCCATTCAACATCCGCCGCGGACCTTTGGAAGACCGCGGCTGGCTCCGTCCTTCTTCGCGGCGAGAGATTCCCACTCTCACTTTCCTCATCACTATCTCTTTCTCTCTCTCTCTTCCTCCCTCTACCTTTCTCGCTTGCTCTCTCCCGCTCCCTCCGAGAGCCTTTCCAAGCCGACAACCTCCCCACCTGCGTGCGTGCGTGAGAGAAGAAGAAGAAGAAGAAGAAGAAGAATTACAGCATCTTCCCGCGTACGTCTCTCTTGGCGATAATCGTCATGGACCGAACGTCTCCCCCCCCTCCACCGAGCAATCGGGTGAATCCTATAAATGCCCTCCACGTTGCCCGCAGACGAAGAAATCACCTCCCGGGACGCTCGAGCTCTCCCGCGCGAGGCATGTGTCCGTTTTAGAGTGTCTGTTCTCCTTTTTCTTTCTTTTTTTTTACCTCGGTCTTTCTCATCAGTGATTAAGGCGACGATCGAATCATGGTAAGTAGCAGTGCATCACGAATCGTGAATACAAAGTGTCGTGAGAGGACAGAATTAGGCGACGGCCTCGGGGAGGGTTGGTGCGTTCAGCGCGCGAACGGGGAGTCCCGATTCCTGCGGAGAGTGTTTGGAAAAGTGAGACCAAGTGAACAAGCTGGTGAAAAATCGTACAGTTCGTCGTGCCTTCCCGCGCTGGGGGTGCGCCCCGAGGTACGTCCTCGGAGATCCTTGCATCTTCCCGTGAGAAACGCACCGCGATAACGTCGCGTCTCGCGCACGCGGAAAAGCGGGGAAGTAAATAAAAAGCGGCAATGACGATGGTCCTGTTGTCGCGTTTGCAAAGGTGCTAACGATGCTTGGGAAACTTATATAATGACAGCAAAGTGGCGTCGGCTTCTCCTCGATGGAAATTCAATATAACGCGGTTTCTGCTGCGGTTTTCACACATTCCTGTTCATTGTTCAAACGAAAATCCCTTTGAAAGGTATGAAGTAAAGCCTCATGTTATTCCTTCGATCGAGGCTTCATCGGAGAGACTCAGTCCCAGACGCTGTTAAATTTTACTTAATTTTCCAGCAAAGGGAAAACTTTTTCTTTTAATTTCGGAAACATTTCTACTTGTTATTAAGTGAAGATCCCTTCGAAAAATAAAATTAAGTCTCGTTTTACTCCTTCGATCGCGAGAAATAATTTGTGAGATTCAATTCGTGATTCTTACAATTTTTTCCCCACTTTTCTGACGAAGGGAAAAGTTTTTCTCTTAGTTTCGAAAAGTTTGCCGGACGTTTCCTTGCTATCGTTATATATGTGTATATTTTTTTTTCACAAAATGTTCTGTACTTCAAAGACGTGATTCCGGGACGCGCGACTTGGATGGAGAATCCACGGTAGAAAGTGCCGAACTCGGTAGAATTGCAGCGGCGCGGTTTGCATCGGCGATAATTTATTCCGCACACACTCTCGCGAGAAGGACGGTCGCCCCCGCGCGCCTACGATTTTCGAATGTCGCGCTCACGTGCGCTTTCCTTTCTGCAAAACGGCATTTTCGCCCGGCCTCGGCAAGTCCTCGCGCGCACCTTCTTCTCGTGGAAATCAACGGACGCGAGCTCGCTGCAGCAAATGTTAGAGGTCATCGCCATTGCTCTTCAAATCCGCCTCGTCGAGCAGCCACGTGCTTTCCGAAACTCTTTTAAGAAATTTCCTACTTATCTCACAGAAAAGAGACGTCTGAAAAATGACCTACCTATCTCAAGATCGAAAACATAAATAACAAGAAGGAAGACATTTGCAATATTGTAAAGAAATCTTTATGTTTGTTTTGTAACAAAAGAATTTTTCAGGCCAATAAGAGTCGCATAGTATGGTAATCGCGAATCATTATTTTTGCGGGAAGATAATGTCAACGAAGTATCATTGAGAGTATTGGAAAGTTAATATAAAAATTTATATTATCACAATAAAGAATTTTATGTTAAAAACGCTCCATTGAAATTTCTATGTTACTTTAATATGGGGAATATGCTAATATTCCTCTATTCTAATCGTAAGGTTGAAATCGGACTTAACTGATGTTCTATTTTGTTCATTTTTCATCTAATTAATGTACAAAAAAATTGAATAATAACATGGAACTTCTACCCTGTTTATTCATAGATAAAAAAAAATACAATGAAATTTACTAACTGACTTTAAATAATTGCAGTAAAACGCTTTGGAAAACACATTTTGAAAACCCACTTTGCCATTAGAGTCAAAAATACACAAATATAAGTTAAATTGATATATTCACCTTGTTAAAGTAACACAAAAATTTCAGTGAACCGTTTTTTATGTAAAATTGTTTAATGTGCAGAGTCCGCTCGATGTTGGAAGGTGGCTACAAATTAATGTCTTAGTGA